CAATAAACAAAAGATCACCGGTTTATCACAACATGATCCTTCACCTCTCTTAGCATGTTTGTAAATGCCATATTATCAGTTCTCATTTAGTTTTTTTTCTAATCGAATTCGAATGGAAAATTAGACCCTTTATCAAATAAATTCATCACGAGTAACATATTTCCTGTCTGTTTTTGAGATTTCATCGATAGTTTTTTATTTTATGTGATTCTTTTGTTTCCAGTAGAACATTCTCGTTGCAGGCTGATAACTGTTTCTCAGTTCCACTTTTTATTTTATGCGTCAAGACCGTTGCCAAACACATTCGCTCTGATTGGAGGTTTGTGAATTTATACTAAGTACTCCGTCAACTTTTTGTAATGCCAAACTTCACTTAATAGTTTTGAATGTATCATCAAAAGTAAATTATCGAACGTTTTATTGCTTCATCTCATGTCACATAAAATAAGTTTTGACTTTTCGCAGTGTTGTGGGTCTACCAATTATGGCTCGATAACGACTGGCCTCGAGGCGTGCGTGTGGCAACCGTATTCGCCGCACTGTTTCGATGTGAGCTCATCGTTCTATTTGCGCCAATATTCATCGTACCATTGTTGAGTGGTGTTTTACCCATACTCGGACGAAAGGGTGCTCTCTACAACGGGATTCTGGCGCTTTCGGTAGCCCTAGGTAAATCAATTTTTTGTGAATGTCGATTGACATTTTGTAGAGCTTGGATGGTTTCGATCAATTTTTGAGATATTCGAGGAGGCGCTCCATTAGAGATGGTTAGAGTTGACTAAACATTTCATTTCAAATCACCTGTTGGACACTTCATTGGCTATTGTGAGATGATGCGATTGCAAATTTTAAGCAGTTACGATACCAGTTGATTCACTTCTATGGAGGCGCTGGCTTTGGCCTGAAGGCGAAGTCTGGTGGTTCAACGTTATGTTAAACAGGAGCAGCGAATACGGGGTTCGTTGATTTCGATCAAATTCAGAACTCTTTGGAGCAGATTTGCAACAGTGACTCAATTTATTGCTATTGTTATAAATTCTTCTTGATAATGCCACGTACTGAAGTTACTCTCCACTCGTTAACAAATTCAGTGCTGCTTTATTAATTCAGTGTTATATAATCACGACTTATTTTAGTGCATTGAGTAAAGGAAGTAAGATCATAAGTTACTTACTTTGATAAACCATGCAAGCCTATATTGAGTACCTTTTCAGGTGATGCCGTTCCTTTGGTATTTCTATTCAGTTCTACCCCGAGCACTTTTGTTATCATTACTGCTGGTGCCAGTTGGCCTTATTGTTGGTTTGTCGCTTTTTGAAAAACATTTTCAACATACCTAGATACAAATCGTTAAACTCGTTGACAGAAACAATTGGTCGGCGGGGTTTTCAGCTCTCCACACTTTAGAAAGAATATAGTGGCGTGGAAGATGTGATACTGCATATATGTATTTTATAAGATTGCATATGAACGGATTTGGATCATTCCAGTTTTATCAGATAGTTAAATTCCTGTGATACTGCATAAATGCATTTTATAAGATTGCATACGAACAGATTCGGATGCTTCCAATTTTATTAGACAGTCAAATTCCTGTTGTATGTATAAATCTTACAATTAGTTAATATCTCACTATTCGAACATTTAGCATTTGTTGAATCATCTACATTATATCCAAATAATTTTATTCTGATGAGTTTCATAAGGTTCTCTTTGAATCAAGAATTCCCAACATTAAAGTCAATTTTAAGAACGACGATTGCTCGGAATCACCGTACCAATAATTTTCTATATAGTCGCATATTCATTTCTACCGCATAAAGAACTTCGCTTCGTCATTTACACATTTCCAATACTGAACATCCCTGCTGCAGCGTTTTGTGCACGATTGTAAGTTGGTTTATCGAATTTGTTGGAGTGCTCGATTTATTTTAACATCATTAAATGCACAGATTTTACTGCATACGCTCATTCTACTGCAAATCGTGCTTTGATGATTATCTTGTACTTGTTATTACATGGCCATTTCGTTGATGAATATTGTTGTGCCAGCAAACTTGACAATATCAGAGTATATTACATTCCGCATCCAGACGTCGCCATCCATCGTAGCCATATTTCTAAGCATTCCTTCACTGCAACCTTCTCCCAGTGAGCGATTGCCAGCTCAATCGGCTGTGCAGGAAAGAGATGTGGATTGATTGATTGATTGATGGTACACTGAATTGAGGTGGATAAATCGTCATAAGTCACTGCTACGACGTTTGATTGCTCTCGGTGTTTGTGCGCATTTGTTGGCCAATTGCATTGCGACGTCGGTTTTGCTGTATGCAAGTTCGAGGAATTATGCTGGTGGTGATGCGATCGCGTACTTACAGGTGATTGACGAGTTTTTGAGTACATTCAGAGGGAATAATACAAATGAAACCTTTCATTTGCATAGCGTTCAACGAGTAAATCGAGAACGACATTAGTAAAAAATGTCTTTATGCGTCAGCATGATGAAAAAATAATGAAAAAAATAATGTTATAATAAAACATCTGAGTGAACTATTGACCCATCTGTTCATTGATTGTGTGCAGAAGAAACCAGATATGAATTGACCTCATTTTTGTAACCTCGAAAAGAGAATCATTCGTTTAAAGAAAGATGATTGATCGCTGCTGTGATCACGATGATAACTGCAGTGATAATGGCATAAATATAAAATGTTTAATTTCTGAAATATTCACAGAATTTGACAACATTTCTTTGCAACTTCAGAAGTTGACAGCAAGCATATCGTTGTGGCTATGTATTGTGAGCGTACCTGAGCATGTGTGTGTATCATTTAAGGTTTTGTTGTGAATTAAATAAATGTTTACTTTTAGTTCATGCAAAGATACGATAAAAATAAGCATATCTCACTTTATATCGACAATTTCGCTGCTCAAACGGGAGTGAGT